TAATAATAATAATAATAATAATAATAATAATGATTATTGTTATTGTCACTATTGTCAATTATTTATTATTGTTACTATTGTTATTATTATCATTATTGCTATCATCCCGTCATTATCACTACTATCATTTTTAGTATCAAATGGTAAATATGTTATTCTGGCAATACAAATTTCTCACCTCACTTTTGGTAATTAAAAGTTTCCAAAAATGTGCGTATATGTCGTCCGTGTTTCCGTCATCGCTTCCGTAATGCATTTCCTAAATAATTTTATCAAATTTTAAAAAACCAAAAGGTTTTGCTTTTAAGTGTTTTCATTATCTGTCAAAAATTTCTTCCTTAAAAATAATTTATATTAAATTTTCTCATTCTTTTCAAACAATAACAAAAATTTAATTATTTACAAATTTTGGTTCACAAATTTTTTCATCACAAGTAGTTTTACCAAGAAAATGAAAAAAAAAGGTTTTCACATTATTTCATTATTTAATTTCATTATAGAAACAAAAAAAGTAAAAAAAATTAAAAAAAATCTCACGGATGATATTTTTCATCTCACGAAGTATGTTTTAGTTCTCCGCGGATGATATTTTCCATATAAGATTTATCTCGAGAAATTTGCTAGCAAAATTATTAATTAAAAAATTTTTCAAGAAATTCAAACTTCTATCATTATGAAAATAATAGTTTTTGTTGATAACCTTTATTGATTCATTATGTTTGTTAATTTCTTCAAATGAATACATTCGATAAATTGAGAGGAATACAACGATTATTTTCAATGAGTGATACATTATTGAACATTGCTGGAAAATGTAAAAATAAATGCATGTAATTAAATTAATTTTATGTAAAAATAAATGCATGTAATTAAATTAATTTCACAAAATGAATATCTATTAAATTTTATTCATTTATATGCTTTTTTTTTCGGCTAATTTATAATATCAGAAAAAAATACTATAGAATTTAATATAAGTTTTCATGTTAAAAATTTACTTCATTTATTAAATTTCAATTCAATTTTAAAAATTTTGCTCTTTTAATTCAATCAATCAATCAATCAATCAGCTCAATCATTTATTCATTCACTCATTCATTAGGGAATAATTATACGAAAATTAATTTCTTCGTTACAATTGAAATTAATTAAATACTAATTACATTCATTGCTAAGTTAGTCATAAAAATTTTATAACGAAAGTTTAATTGAAAAGG